TGACGGGCCGGCAAAGAACAACGGGTCTGCTCCGTCGTGCATCAATATGATTCCATAACGGCGGTACATCAAGATTGATGTTGTGCATTGCAACCATGATGATTAGCATTGTGCATGCCTCGGATGCAACAACTGGAAGTCTTGGCCAAAGGGCTGCGCTGGAGTGGTGTTGTGCTGGAGACGCCTGATACCTGTCATGGCGTTGCATGCCAGATTTTGCATGCATGGAAAGTTTTTCACCGACATTTGTTGGTGACATGTAACAAGATGCTTGGGTTGAAGTATGTAGCCGAAAGCCACGATGAGATAGATCTCAGCCAAGTTGCCGAGGGACATTTTTAGCTTGCAGCCACGCACGAGTCCGGTTGTCCATCATCTTCCGACACGCCACAAAGATTCATTTAACCGGAGGGGAGAAAAAAAAATGGGGAGAGGGAGGCGAATAGAGAGCAAAAGAATCTTGTTTGTGTGTTTTCGGGCGATTTTCTGACAAGGTGATTCTGAGTCTGGAATTTTGTGGTGGTGCCCGTTCGCGCTGGCGAGTTTCAACTTTGCCGCCAGCCCACCAGACGGCGATGGCTTCTGAGCCGCCGCCACTGATACATCTGCGACAGGGGTGGTGGAGGCCCAGGCAAGGCAAGGCGAAGCAGCGGTGAAATTGCAGGGATGAAAGCTTCATGGCCGGACCTGGTGTCTCGTGGTTGTGGTTGTCCGCCGCCCCCAACTTGCAACGTCGTTGAGGAGCCAAGGAGCCAAAGAACAGAACACCAGATGTCCGGTGCAATCACGGCCGGCTGCTGACAGGACTCGGTGCTGTGGATCATTGATGTCAGCACCAGACATCTGGACCAGCACCACACGCCCGACTGCACGCGCAGCACTCTGACGCCCATCCGCCTCCACCCGGTCGGGGGGCTCGGGCGCTGGCCCTGCAATCGAATTGCCCAACACCGGGACCCTTTCTGCTGGAACAGACCCCTGTCGCATGGTGTTTTGCATCATGTTTGCTGGTCTGCACTCTTGGCCATTTGAGCGTCGTGGCTGCCTCAGCCGGAGCGCTGAGTGGACCAGGCTTGCCAGGCTAGCAGACTCTCAGGCTTCTCAGGCGCTCACTTGGGCGATCAATTGATGTCAGCGCTGGCACTTGCCGCGACAAACACCGAAAGTGACATGGCACCTGGGGACTTGGACAAAGAGGGCAACGCTGGCGACAGAAGACTGGAGCCCCCCGGTCGCCCGTCGTCCGCCGCCCGTTTTCCCGCCTCCAGTGCCCATGGCCACATCCTTTATTATTCAGCTGGGGCCCCCTTCTCTCTCGCCGTCATCTAAGTAGATTAGACTGCCCAGGTCAACCACTCCGTCCTCGAGTGCTGTTGACGACCGCCCTCCTGAAGTCGGTTATATATCGCACCTTCAAGTCGTCGACTTGTCGTGCTGGGCAAACTGCTGCTGCTGCTTCCGAGTCTCTGCCGGCACAGAAGCTTGGGAAGACGCAACGAACCAGTTGACCGGACGTGGAGTTGCCTGCCGTCGTGCATCATCCCCACGAACGTCGCCGCCGCTTCTCGACTGGCTGCAGTACAGTTAGCCATCGACACGGACTCGGAACACGTCTAGTATTCTACCACCGCCCGACCGGCCTACTGTTCTCTAATTTACGCATTAATAATTACATCATGGCGATGCTCTCATCAAAATCGCCTTTCCCGGCCGCCCTCAGCACCTCGAATCTCGCTCCCAGCTCCAACCTGCAATCTGCCTTGCCCACCTCGAGAAGACTGCCCGCCATGTCGACGAGCGCCCAGAACTACGCCAGCCCGACCGAGTCCGAGTTCTCCGAGACCGACGATGCCGATTCTGTGAAGCACTGGGACGAGGACCATGTCTGCGAATATCTCCGAAGCGTCAAGTGCGGGGACTACGAGAAGATTTTTCGCAAGAATCACATCAATGGAGAGAACCTTTTGGAAATGGACAAGGAAGTATTGAAGGAGATGGGAATCGACAAGGTCGGCGATCGAGTGCGCCTCTTCCTGTGCATCAAGAAGCTGCGCACCAAGACATATGCGAACCAGAAGAAGCGCAATAGGGTGAGTTGAAAGTGAACGAAACAAGCAAACGCCTGCTGCGGCTCTGCCAGCTGGCTGACAACCCCCTCTTTTTTTTTCACCCTTGCAGGACTCGTTCTCCGGTCTCGATGCCTACGCTTCTTTTCCTCCCACCAGCATTGCTGCCCAGACTTCGTCGTTGCCTCGCTCGTCGGCCACCTCATCCATCAACCGTCGATATTCGCGGCAGATTGATGTGCCTGCTCCCCTGGAAACTGGTGAGTTGACAAAACATGACTGACGGATGTCTCTGAGCCAACAAGTCCATCGACTGACTGTTAAACACCTGTAGCTCGGCAAGCTCGATTCCCTGCTGGTGTAGGCTACGTCAGCAGCGTTGGCCAGAGCCAGCCTTCAAGGCCCCAAGCATCAACTTCGGACCTTCCCACTTCCCGCTTGGTACCTACCCACACCAGAAACAATTCCAGCATGGATGGCTCGCTGATGGCTGCGTTGCCCCAGGGCCAAGATGTTATTCGCGTCATCTCTACCGGCGGCGTTACCAAAGTGGTCAAGATTGCTGATTGCAACACTTGCGAAGACGTCATGCGTGTCACCCTTCGAAAGTTTGCCCTCCGCGAAGATCACGAGCGCAACTATTGCTTCTGGGTCCTGACGGGCATTGACCCCGATCCTGCTCAGTGCAGAAGGCTAGGCGATACCGAGCTGTGGCGCATTATCAAGGACCAGCGCCGACCTGAACGCAATCGCTTGATTCTACGACGAGTGCCTGCTGGCGAGCCCGGTGAGGCGGAGCTGCAGCGTGCTGCCGCTATTGCTATGGAAGAGGAGCAGCAAAAGCACACCAAGGCTATCGAATCAGTAGACAAGAGAAGCCAGCTCAAGGTCCAGAAACTTCTTGGGGAAAACTGGGACGACCAATTACAACAGCCTTTATCTCCCGTTTTCTTCCAGCACCAGGATCGACCTCTTCCCCACGAGACTCACAGAGATGCGGACAGGACTCCTCTAGCTGACGATGCTCGAGCTGCACAACGTCGCAAGGATGGACTTCGTCAGTTTGGTGGACTTCGACCACCCAGTGAACTCATCGCCTCCGACTTGACCTCTTACTTCCCGGATCACCGCCGGGAGGACATTGACCGGACTGCTCGTCTTTCCATGAGGCGGTCGACCAGGCTGAGCAAGGTCAACAGTCGACTTAGTGTTGCAAGTAGCATCAGCTTGGCCTCGAGTGTGCAAGATGCTCCTCCAATCCCAACAATTGCCGACTCGTGGCTAAGCGGTGCCGCTCACGTTGCCAAGGTCCGAACACGCGACTCCCATGGACGCATTCCCGGCATCTACAATAGAGATTCTTTTGCCTCCTCCACGTTGGATACCCTGCAAGAGGAGTCACCAATGGAGCCGGACCGAAAGTCGTATGTATCCTTCACCGAGAGTGGAGATGATGCTACTGTTGATTCCACTGCTGTCAGCGTCACCGACCCTGATGGCAATACTGCCATTACAAGCTACTATGAAGGTGAGGGATCTACAGGGTCTGGCTCCTTTAATGAGTCGATTCGACAGGCTCTTTCAAATGACGGCGATGAACTTGACGAGGAGCTGGAAAGTTTTCTGTCTGGGGACTCGTGGGATGACAACCAGTGGATGAAGGGAGCTCTTATCGGCAAGGGCTCATTTGGTTCGGTTTATCTGGCTCTCCATGCCGTGACTGGTGAACTTCTTGCTGTGAAGCAAGTTCAGATGCCTGCCCCTGGAGCAACTGGACAGAGCGAGACTCGCAAGAGGAGCATGATTGAGGCGCTCAACCGCGAGATGAACTTGCTTCGTGACTTGCGCCACCCCAACATTGTGCAGTACCTTGGCTGTAGCTCGTCGTCGGACCATTTGAACATTTTCCTCGAGTACGTCCCAGGCGGCTCCGTTCAGACGATGCTGAATTCATATGGAGCCTTGCCTGAGCCCCTGGTGCGCAGTTTTGTTCGCCAAATCTTGATGGGCTTGTCGTATCTCCACGGCCGAGACATTATTCACCGCGATATCAAGGGCGCCAACATCCTGGTGGACAACAAAGGCACCATCAAGATTTCAGATTTTGGTATTTCCAAGAAGCTAGAGCAGTCCAACATTCTGGGCAATGCCAAGAACAACCGACATCGGCCATCACTGCAGGGATCCGTATTCTGGATGGCACCCGAGGTAGTCAAGCAGACAGAGTATACACTCAAGGCTGACATTTGGTCTCTCGGCTGCCTCGTTGTAGAAATGATGACGGGCAACCACCCTTTCCCCGACTGCAGTCAACTGCAGGCTATTTTCAAGATTGGAGGCGGAACAGCATCCCCGACAATCCCCGAGCACGCTAGCGAGGAGGCCAAGGCATTTCTTCGCCAGACTTTCGAGCTCAATCACGACTTGCGACCTAGTGCGGACGAGCTCATGCTCAGTCCGTTTCTCTCGCACATGACCTAGACGACAATTTCTGGCAGTTTGCCACTTCTTAGTTGTCATATTACTACTATTTACATTGGCCGACTTGGGCAGGTACCATAGCGCGTGTCCCTTTTTTTTTTTTCTCTCTCTTCCTTTCTGTTTGATAGATTACAAAGATTTGGAAGAACGGCAAGGTGGATATGCATGATTTTGAGATTACAGGAGCATTTTGAAGACGCATGCGACATGTCTGGCAGGGCGTTTTGTGATACACATAGCTAATGGGGGGAAAAGACAGGGGGGCGGAGGGTTGGCTCATGATATCAAGACAGTGTATAATAAAGAATAAAAAGCGAATGAATCAACGACTTGTCCAAAGACTGAGTCTAAGCCGTGCCGCAGCAATTAGGGTGCCTTGATGCTTAATGTCCGGGGAGCCTACTTGGCATACAAACATTAGCATTCCGATTTCCCAACAGTCTTGATGGAATGATGCTCGACGTTGGGTGGGTGTGTGAAATGCTGTTGCCTTGGCTCGAGTTTATCCTCTTTGGGCATATGCCTTTACGACACACGAACGGCTAATTGGTGTTTTGTGGTCCATCAGTACGGCCAAGTGGTCTGCTGCCTTGGCCGGTTTGCCTGGGGCCTGCACACGTGAGCCTCACTCTGGCCCTTTGGGCTGTCACGATTCAAACTCGGGGCATGTCAGGCCACCCTCCTGCCCCGTCATCAACCATCAACCGACCGGGCCTAATATATATACATATACATATATGTCCTGTTGACATTGGCAGTGTTCACCAAGATTAAAGGATCAAAGGCAATTTCCCTTCCCGTGGACCTCCACGATACCCCCCACGTTGGTGCTCGGCAGCCGCGGAGCCTCAATCAAACCTTGGCCGCTCCCCCGGTTGCGGCGCATGGCACCCACCACCACCACCTTGCGGATTCCACGACAACGGCCGATAACCCCCGCCCGCGCGAGATGCCGCCCAAACGGGAAGACAGCCAGCTGTCGCAGGACAGCGTCATGACGGCCACGCCGGAGGACCGGCACGAGATCTTGTACTTTGCGTACGGGAGCAACCTGTCGACGGCGCAGATGCGGCAGCGGTGCCCGCACTCGACGCCCGTAGGGCTGGGGTACCTCGAGGGCTGGAAGTGGCTCATCAACGAGAGGGGCTACGCCAACGTCGTGCGGGTGTCGGGCGGCGGCGGCGGCGGCGGCGTCTACGGGCTCTTGTACCTGCTGCCGCCGCAGGACGAGGAGAGGCTCGACGTGTGCGAGGGCGTGCCGTGGGCCTACGAGAAGATGACGTGCGACGCGCGCTGGGTGAGGGACGGGCTGGGCAAGGCGCTGGACGAGCCCGTCAGGGCGCTGGTGTACGTGGACACGAGCCGGGTGCGGGAGAGCGTGCCCGGGGACGAGTACGTGCAGAGGATGGAGAGGGGCATCGAGGATGCCGTGAACAATTGGGGGCTGGACGGGGAGTATGCCGCGAGGGTCATGAGGAGGTTTTGGGAGTGACGCCGGGCGAACAAACGGCTACGCAGGCTACGCAGGGCTTCTGATGTGCGCTTTACGTGGGAGGGTTAGAGGCAGGGTTCGGTGCAGCGTCTGTACTGAAGAGTCGAAAAGTTGGTTGCGCTCCATGGGACACGGCATGTAGGTCGATGTGCAACCCTCCCCTCATTGACGAGATGTACGCACTCTGGACCAAATCGGATATACGGTGGAGACTAGAAATCTATATATATATAAGGTTTTTTTAAGTCTTGGGGGGAAAAAGGCATAAAAAACTCTTCATTCCCGTGCCTCTAAACGCCCAACTCGCTCTCAACGTCACCAACGCATCGGCTACCAAGTATTCAGATCCGGCCAGGATACTCGGTCGACCAAAGGCCAACAACCACGCCCCCTCCCCCAAGTCACCGTTTGTCGGGCAACCAGCTCTCAGGACAAGCCAAAGGCCTTCTTGGCCCGCGTCAAGTACGCCTTCCTGTCCTCGGTGACGGAGACGCCCACGCACTTCATGTACGTCTCGAAGCCCGTGTCGACATTCTTCTCCAGGGCGTCCCTGGACTCGGGCAGGCACTTTGTGGTGTAGAACCACGGGCCGCTGCCAAAGTTGTACTTGTCCACGGTCACCAGGGACAGGATGTAGTTGAGGGTGGCGTTGGAGGCGCCCTCGACGGTGGTGACGTTGGAGACCTTGCTCTGGAGGCAGGGGATGGACTTGGCGTACTCAAAGTTGAAGTTGGCCATTTGCATGTTGGCGGTGCCCTGCCCCGGGCGGCCGGGGAACATGTTGCGCTTGTACGTGAAGTTGCCCGACTCAAAGGCCATGAGGGAGATGATGGCGGCCATCTCGTTGGTGCTGTTGATCTGGTAGCGGGCCATGGACTTTTGGATAAAGGGGGCGGCCTGCGTGGCGGTGCGGCAGTCGGGCGTCTTGCCATCGCACTTTGTGTCGGGGAGCATCTCGTCCATGATTTTGGCAAACTTTTCGGGCTCGATGGGCGCGCTGGCCGCGTTTGCCACGGCCGCCAGGGCCATGATGACGGGTGCTGAGAAACGCATCGTGGGCTGAAAGAGTATATATGGAGAGAGAGTATGTTTGTATTGGGCAGGATCTTGGGGGAGTGTTGACAGGAGTAAATTAGAGTGCTGTTGCTTCTTCTTTTTTTTTTCTTTTTCCCAAGAGGAACGGTTCCTGAGAAAAGGGGTGGGATTTCAACTCCGTATATATGCAAAGTGAAGCCTGATGATGAACGATGGACCGAACAAACAAGCCGGTGCTGTCAAAAGGTAAGAAACGGCGCGCAACAAAGACGAGAAGGGTGACGGTTCATAACACGACGGCATCAAAGACGCGGGCAGACTGTGGTGTATTTGTACAATAGGCTGTTCGCCGGTGCTTCCCTTGTTGAATATGCTGCAGAAGCGGATTCTCGCCGATTGTGCCTCTTGGCGTCCCATTCATGGGCAAGGGGGGCGACGAGAGACGGCATGCTACGTGGGACTGCATTGTACATGGAATGAATGGCTTTGAACAATGAGACGACGGGTTCATGGGAGCTTGAGGCCCAACCATTGTGGGCGTCGGCGTGGTGGTGAAACAGGAGCACCGAGGAAAGTGGATGATTTTTGGGGCGGGGCGGCCATGCAGTTTGCAGTTTGCAGTTTGCACCGACGGCATTTGACGTCTTGTATTTTTAGTTGTAGGGCTACGTATTCCGGTTCCGGGCCGGGTATGAAAATGAGGGCAAGTGGGAGTTGAAGGTCGGGGGCCGAAATTACATTCAAGCGCGGATGGGTTACCATGACGACAAGGGCCAAAGGTGGCCCCGACTCGCTGGGAATATATTTTGGCTCCATGCCTTTATGATGTCTGGTGTTGTTGCAATGGTAGCTGCACTTGCGGTGGGCGGATGGGTTTGTTTCGGCGTGGTTGGACACGCGGCTAAAGTCTGCAGTGAATGGTGGTGAATGGTGGTGAATGGTGAGCAGTGAATGGCGTGGCGTGAGTGAGTGGTGAGTGAGTGGTGAGTGGTGAGTGGTCAATGGTGAAATGTCATCATGTGAGTGAGTGTATTCTTTTTTTTGTCAGCTGTGAAAGCGCTGCTTGGCTGACCGAGGGCGTTTCATTTTCCAACAAATGACTGAGGAGCAAGTCTGTTGGATTCGCGGGCGTCTTGCAGAGCGTGCATGAATTTGTGGGTGGCTGTGTGAGATTTGCGGACGAATAAAGAATACCTTGTATGTCTCACTTTGAGCGCCCGAGTCCTGCGTGAGAAATGTCTGGTGAAAGAAGGCTGTGGCAGCGAGCCCCCTAATTCTTGCACGCTTGACTTTGTCCATTTCTAGAGCTCTTGCAAGTGCTGCATACGGAGCGTAAGCAACAAGCTAAGAAGATGAACCTCCTTCTCCTGGTTTCCCATTCTTTTGACCCCATGTAAGCCATGTCACTTCCCAAGAAAGACACATCATGTCACGGTGATGCCGACGACGCACATGCCAGTCTTCACACAAACACAGCGTAAAAGGCCGACAAGCCTCCCCGTGCATCGAGTCCACCATCTTTGTTTTCTTTCATCTGGAAATAGCGCAACTGCAGCCGTGTGAGAGGCTACACAAGGCGTCAAAAGATCCGGGTGCTCTACCGTAACCGC